CTGGTCCAGGGGCACCGTATAAATGGCTGACCCTGCGCTCTGACCCCAAGCTTCTCTCCCTGTCTGTGTGTCTCATGGAGAGCAAGCTGGGGTATGCGAAAAGACACATTCCTAATACAAGAAATTGTATATGGCCACTAAAGTGATCTTATCTTATTCTGTTGGTTTCACCTCTTCTCGGTCCAGGTATATCTATTGTTTAAGATTCCTAGAGATTTTAATTAAGTTGTTTAACTTAATAAGCAGATTTTCATTAAAAGCTTTCTAGAGCTCTGAGCATGTTTTATCCATTTGGTATCCATCCATACTGTTACCTATTCAAATTAATCTAGCAAATCGAAATCATATCATTACTGTTATTCGAAGTGACTATTGAAGTGTCTCAAAAATCTATGGACAATAATCAAACATCTGGCTAGTGTCCACATTTGTAGCTCTCAGGAGCTTCAAAGCAAGAAAGGAAATGAAGTGTTTACCTGGGCCTGAGACACACTGGTCAAAGGAATCGTCTGGATTATCTTGGTTAACGAAGTTCTGGGTAAATGATTAGGAATCATCAATAATTGAAGGACAGAGGATGAAAAGATAGGAGGACAGGAAAAAGGAGGAGCACAGAGAGGAAAGACAGCAAGACACAAGGGAAGAGGAGAGGACACAGTGCCAGACAGGAAGTCCTTGTTTTGATCAGCCTTTAAGACCAGCTTCGAGTTAAGTTTTAGAACCTTGCTAAGAGGACTTGCCATTCTGTTTTGTTTAGGAAACTCAGATTTTTGATATAGAGGATCCCTAGGTTAAAAACAGCCTCTCCTGCTTAGCGGAAGCATTTGTAGAACAGGGAGATGGGTTCCCATTCATTTTGTAGCATCCTGGTTTAGAGGGAGGATTTAACAGCCTGTTGTATTCTGTTTTTGTGCACGAGACAAATTTTTGTTTGCTTTTGGGCCTGTTGGGTGTTATAAAGGATTCAAAAAAACTTGGTGGCAATCTGGGGTTTTTCTGGTTGGTCGGAATATAGCCCTTTTAGACATTTTGTTTGTAACATGTATATTGTATGTTTATGTATGTTTATGTTAATTAATGTGTGGCATTATTATTAATAAAAATGTGTTTAACCCAGTATGCCTGATTTATTACTCTTTTCACCAAAGCTGTAATAAAGAACAAAAACCTCCAACCACTTGTGTATGATTGGCAAACTCTTTACAACTTGAGGGTTACAATATGATTATTTAATTATCTAATTGAATTTACTCAGTCTATTTTGGTATTCTCTGTTGTATCTCCCTATTTGTAACATTATATATTTTGTAAATCTATAAACATAGCATTTATTTA